ACCCAGATTCTGTGTACCTACCAAAATATTCTTCTCCCCTATCTGATCTAACAATTTTAATAACCTTCCCTAACTGTTTTTCAACTTCAGTTCTATAAATAATAAAATAATTAAGTGCATCTGATTTCTCACCAATGAGAAAAGTGTATCCAAGCCTAGAAAAGTTATCAATGAAATTGACAAAATACATGTTCCCACAAATTGTTTTAAATAGAAAGGCACCACAAATATTAGTGTGTATGATTTCTAATAACCCTTGACTTCTCTTAGCATCCATTTTTCTAAAATTAGTCATTTTGCCCTTTAAACAATCAACACACTCATTTGCAGTAGTGAAATCTAATCTTTGAATTAATTCAGCCTTTGAAAGTTTAATTACTCTTTCTTTAGAGATGTGCCCTAGCCCTTTGTGCCAGATAATGTAAGAAGTGTCATTTTCAAGCATCCTTTTGGAACCAACATTCAATACTGAGTGATTATTTAACTCCACTAAGCATTCTAGACTTCACAAGTTATCTGATAGAAAAGCAGTTCCCAAAACCGAATCTAGACAATTCTTTTAAAGATTTTTAAAGATTTTTAAATATTCATCATCAGCAAGAAAGGAAAAGCCATCTTTTACAATTTTGGAAGCAGAAATTAAGTTTCTTCTCATCTTTGGCACATAGAGCATGTGGATGCAAATTTCTTCCTCCTTGTTCTTGGACAAAATTGCACCTACAAAACAAATAACAACTTAGGTCAAGGCCAAGGGCCTCATGTGTGTGCTCGATGAATTTGGGGGGTGGGGGGGGGTGGGCTTTGGCTAAAGAACCTCTGATGCCAAAGTTAGAATTTAGAGAGAAAAAGTGTTTGGAGAATTTTGAGTATTTAACAAGAGTGTAGACCTAGGTTTTTACAGAAAATGGGGTAGTATATATAGGGCATGGGGGGAGAAGGTGGCCGGCCCTTTGTGGTGTTTTTGAGTGTATTTTGTAGTTAATTGGTAGTTTAATTAGCCATTAATAGATTAATTAAGTAATAAATCTATTAATTAGCTAATTAACATAATTTAAAAGGAATGTTTTGGGGGTTACCTTGTGGAGAAGATGGATGAAATAGGTTTTGAATAAATACCTATTTTGGGCACTTTTGACTTGATTGTGGGATGATTGTCAACTGCTTGCGTGTGAGAATTTTGGTGCTCCTCAAGGGTAATTTTGTCCCTTCCACCCAAAAATCCATGTGTCGTCTATTGATTATTTTTGGCTCCATAGAGTACATCCTTTAATTGTAAAACAAAACCATAAGTAAGTCTTAAGTTCACAACCCCTATTGAGTGTACTGCAACTTTAGTCCCTTCCCCCACATAGACATTGTATAAAGTATTTCCAATTTCCTTTTGTTTTTTAAAACTGTTTAAAGAGTTGGTTATATGTACGGAGCATCCAGTATCAAACCACCAAGAATCAACATGTACCTTACATAAATTTGACTCAACACAAACATGCACATGTTCCTTTTCTTTGCTTTTTATCTAATCCTTAAAGATTTCACAGTTCACTTTTAAATGGCCATTAGTTTTGCACAACAAACATTTAAGTTTAGACACATCTTTTGGTTTTTTAAACCTGGTAGATTTTCTAGGGGAGTCAATTACTTTAGCAGAAGTACTGAACCTTTTAGAATTCTTAAATGATTTAGAATTCTTACTAGAACCAGAAGAGCCTCCATTGTTGAACAGCTTCTTCTTCTTTCTAGTTTGCACAAAATTGACGTCCTCAATTTCTTTGCATTTCTCTTGTTTTTGACGAGTTTCTTCTTGTACACATTGTGCAATCAACTGATCAATGTCCCACTTTTTGTCTTGAGTGTTGTTGGAAACTTTTAACTGGCTATATTTGTTGGGAAATGCTTTGAGAATCATGAATACCAGCTACTTTTCACCAATATTTACATCCATTGAATTGAGTTTTTCAGCAACATTGGTCATCTTCATAATGTGGTCCCTTATAGAACCAGTACCCTTAATCTTGTATGTAGTCAATAGAGACATGTATTGACTCACTTCAGCTTTCTTAAATTCTTTAAATTTCTTTTCAATTGCATTTAGGTAGTCAACAACCAAATCATGTTTCTTGATTCCTCCTCGAATTGTATTAGTCATACCACTCTCTAGGATAGACAGTGTCACTTTATTGGCTTTTGTCCATCTCTCAAAATTTACTTTTTCAGCTCTGGTGCTCTGATCATTGATGACAGGCTTGGGATTGTCAATTGCTATATCAAACTCATTTAGAGTTAATAGCAAACTAATGTCTCTTCTCCACTTCTTGAAATTACTCCCCGCCAGTGAGGATCAGAATGTTAGCCAAATTGAGGGTCTTCATTGATATTGCAAACACTGAAGAACACAATGAAATCACAAAAGAACTTTTAGGGTTCCATATTTCTTCTCTCAGTCTATTGCACATCATATCATCAAAACTATTATCCATATACATAATCTTAACAACGAAAGGTTGATAAGCACATATAGAATAAAAGGTTTTTCAGAGCATTAAGAATCAATTGTTATGTAATCATGGATAGCCATCTCAACATTATAAAGGATTTGTCTCAAACAAACAATTCTTCATAAATTTTTTTTTGCATAAAACGAGTGATGTCTGCAGAAGGTCCAAGCTAAACTTTCTTCCACAGACAATTAGAGAAAATGCATAATCACGGGATTAAAAGGCAGAAATAAGCGTAATCATGATGCTTGTTATTCAAATCATGCTGAAGAAAGGAATATATTTGAGACAAGATAGATCAAAATTCAAATTTCATCCAATGTTCAGAAGACATACCATTTCATTCAATGAGTATCAATAACCAACAACGGAAGCATTTATAATAAATATTGAAGACTAAACAGCAACTTGAATAGCCCAGATCAACAAAACTCAAAATCAAAAGGGTAAAGTGTTGTATTCCGGATCCGAGAAAAACCCCAAAATTAGATATGTTTCGAGTTCTAATGGTAAAAAATTAAACAATCATATTTTATTAAAATGCACCTTTTTTTCTTAGACCTAGTTTTAAGTCTAGAACCAGTTTCAAAACTTGAAGACAGTAAAGATGAATTTTTTTTTTTTTAATTAGGATTTTATCGATTTTGTTGATTGAATTCAAGAACATGAATCTATGGCTCTGATACAACATGTTAACTCTAAACCACAAACAAGATTCAGTTACTCAAATCACAACAAAACAAAATACAAAACACCAATACATATAAGGCTAAAACATACTAACCTGAAGAACTTCCATTGGACGCAGCCATGGTTATTCATGGTCAACCTGAATGCACAACAACTATTCTTCTCTTTGTCAAGATGCTTATTGCTTAAACTAAGAATAAGGCTTAGTTCCAAAAGAACACGTTCCTGTGAGAGGAGAGGTTGTTGTATATGTATACATACACATATCATTCTCATAATAGAATAAGGACTCCCTATTAGAATACTTATGGAAAACAACTTATGTTTTCCTAATCCATATCAATTCATTACTGCAACAGAATCCTCTATTGACATAAACTAGTATACATCTTCCCATAAGGCTTTCTTACACTACAAGAAAACATGGAATAGGTGATCAAATTCTATGTGACGCCCAAAAATTAGTCACATATAGGAAAATTACGTGATGAAATGTTAAACGTGTCACAAATAATTGGTTTGCTAGGTACGAAATTTGGACCAATTTATGTGACGATAAATATGTCACATCTTTCAAAATTAAGTGATGAATATGACAAGCGTCACCTATAATTATTTTATATCTTTTAAGATGAAGTAGTGGCATAAAATTTTTGAAGTCCTTGTAAACACAAAAATTCCTAATAACGAACGAGACAAGAACATATGTACAAAATATATTTGTAGTATTAATGATTTTGGGATTACAATCTCTTTGTAATTTGGTCCTCTGATTCAATCTCCGTAAGATGTTGGTTTGTTAACGTGTTGTTAATCCAAGGGCCATCGAGGCTTGATCTTGGATGAACGGTTTGAAGTTTCTTCAAGGGCTGTTGGGGCTTGATCGTGAAGGTGGAGGGAAGTTTCTTCAAGAGCCTTCAGGGCTTGATCTTTGAAGGTTGATGAACGAGTCTTCAAGGGGCTTTTGGGCTTGATCTTGAATAATGGTTGTGCGGATTTCTTCAAGGGCTTTTGGGCTTGATCTTGAAGAACGGTGATGAATGGATTTTTAAGGGCTTTTGGGCTTAATCTTGAAGAACGGTTGGATGTGTGGATTTGTTGACGTTGTTGATCCAAAGGGCCGTTGGGGCTTGATCTTAGGATGAACGGATGATGAACGATGAACACTTTCTTCAAGGGCCGCCGGGGCTTGATCTTGAGTTGGTGGAAGTTCTTCAAGGGCCGTCGGGGCTTGATCTTGAAGAAGGATTTGACAAAGAACAAATAAAGCTTTCTTGATCCTTCGGGATTTGCTTGAGAGCTTTAGAGTTTCAAAGCTTCAAGGTTTTGGTGTGATATCCCTTGGTCTCCAAAATGAATGCCTTGGCTTCCTATTTATAGAATTCCAAAACTTGATTTTTGGATTTAAATAATAAGATGAAATAAATCATTTCTGCCAGGTGTTGACACGTGTCCTATTTGATAACTTTTCCAATTTATTTCGATTTTTCGTTGAGTCACACGTTACGTGTAAAATTTATGTGACACTTGAGCATTGAAATTTTAATTATTGGTCAACATTCATTTCATCGAAATTTCGATGTCTACAGTTCTTAATAAAATATATGGCGGGACAAAATGTCGCCATATGAAATAGGGTATGCGAGGAATTTCAAAGTGGGTTGCATATTTGAATCTTTGTGAGGAAAGTGGTCATCACATTACAAAGGAGGAATAAATTTCCAGCAAAAAATATAGTGAATCAAACATTAAATTTTTTTGAGAATTCTCCCCGTCTCTCATTCATTTTCCTCTTCTCCCCTCTCTGCATCATCGTGACCTATAATCCGCTGGCTGTCTCATCCCTCAATTTTCTTCTACCTTTACTACAACAGTACCAGGATCTTCCAAGCCAATCGCTCAGACCCTCTCACATCTTTTCACTCTTTATCACTCTCCATAACCAAAAACCCTAGAGACCTATTCAACCAACAAGCCAAATTCATGCCTCACACCAACTAGACTACCTTGATATGTCGTCCAATAGTTCTCTTTTTTGTTCAATTATGATTTTTGTGCTGGATTCACAGGTATTTGTCTCCAATATTGAGCTTTGAGTAGCCCTTCACTTCCACATCCACGGATTCACCCTCACAGGTCTCTAGTTGGGTAAAATTGTTTCATTTATTATCAATTCTTTTTAACTTAGGGTTTTGAATTTGCAGATAATTGCCCCCAAAATTGAGCAAACCAATAGCCTTCCTCCTCCGCATCCATCTTCCTCTCTCTGTCATGCTCCATAAACAACCCAATTCCATGCCATAAGTCCCACACCAACGAGATTGCCTTTGTATCCATGAATCGTTGAAGGGATTTTGCTTATCTGAGGTAATTAGCAAGGGGTTTTGTTTCTATTTTTTTTTTTTTTTTTTCAAATTTACTTAAAATTTGTAGTTCCCTAATTTAACATATTATTAGGGTTTTGTAGTTTTTGTTCAATTTAATCCATTTTTATGACTAATTTGCTAATTATCAGATTTCTCATGCTTTGTTCTATTTAAACCCCATTTATTTTATCTAATTTGTTATTAGTTAGTATTTTTTGGCATCAGTTGCATCTGTGCTGCTGTTATAATGCCATTTGGTTACAATTTGAAGAATCAAGCTACCATGGTATGATTTCCTTTACTTCTATAATTTTTGTCTGGCTTAGGCATGTTTCTGTTATGTGTTCTATTTGAATTTTTTAGAAACTAAAAGCTTGTTTAATTGTATGTTTATCTAAGATGTGCTTCCCATCTCTTCCCATGGAGCTCTAGCCTTTGATAAGGCCCAAGTAACGCTTTCACTGACTTGAGATTAGGTCCTATTAATTTTTCAAGTACTGTAATTTTGCCATAAATAATAGTTATGCTTAATTTGCTCCTATGAATAATTTGTGCCTTTGCTTTCAATGGGGTATGGTGGTTGTGTTTTTGCTGCTGGATGATGATTTTGTTTTACCTTGGTGTCTTAGAAAACTTACAAAAATTTACAAGGATTTGAGCAGGGGTTGAGCCATAAGTAAAGTTTATATGAATTTGAGCTCTTAGATTATATAATAATAGTCTAAATAACTGGGGTTGCAACTCCAACCCCACATTCTCCTCCTCTCCCTCTAAAAATCACATACAACCTTATCCATGCTTTGTTGTCCTTGCCTTGCTATTAACGAAGAATTCTGGAGTTCTCTAGATGTACAATGGGTGGTATGGTCAATTGTGCGGGTGTGTTGATGAGGTGAGACACCTTAGTGGGATAATATCGTGGATATTTTAGCTTCAAGTTTCAATGTCTTTTTCATAGATTGATTGAATGTACAAGGGGGGATATATAATGAGGTAAAAGGTTACATGCAACCCTACTTTGGCAAATCCTACTAAGCCGGTAAACCCTAAATCTGTCATTCCTTAAATTAAGGGAGTGCAGCAAGTTGCTAGCACACAACTATCAACAAGTCATCTAGATGTCAATCTTCCTTAAATTAAGGGATTAGACTTAATAGAGAATCCCATGGAAAGAGGGCAGGGAACATAAAATCTGGCAGCATCAGTCACCCCATATCGTCTAATATCTATATGCAGCATTAGTCACCCCATATTGGTGACTTATGCAGCATCAATCATATGCAGCATCAGTCACCACATATCGTCTAATAAATTATAAGACTTATCTTTTAGAATCATCTTGCTATCTAAAGCCTTGAGGACATACCTTTTAGAATCATTAGTAGTGATATTAATTTGATCTTTATAAAAGTTGAATGTTTTAAAATTACAGTGAATAAGTAGTTTATGGTATGAAACTAGATATGTTTTTCTTGTTAATTAATGACCTTTTAATGTAGAATGTTTTCAAGCAAAAGTTATATAATCGTAAGAAACAAAAGTATTATCACAAGGGAAGGGCAAAACCATTTCATCCAACATGCAAGGAAGGCTCACAAGGTAATGAAATTAAAGTACATATAAAACTCATTGTGTAATTTAGAGAGGCTTGTTTGTTATGTTTTGTTCTTCTTACTGTAACTATTTCTTCAATTCTTATTTTTTTCTCTTTTGTTGTTATTCAAATTCTCAATGCACCTGCTATTCTTTAGACACCAATGTTTATTTTCTTCTCTTTTATTATGTAAGAATAAGATGAAGAAAAAGAAGGATGGAGTTAAGGGAGAAAGTATTCAAGAAGCACTTGAGATAGTGATGGTGATCTTTCAAATGACAATGATACTTGTGCTGAACTAAAGACTATGATATGGTTGATGACTTATATTATGTATCTTGTTGTTGGTTCCAAACATGCACACGGTATACCTGTTTTGTTACCAACTCAATGCCTTAGAAACTTGTTAGCATCTCAATATGTTTAGAGGTGTTAGGATGCTTATGTTAGCTTTTGGGATATACCCTTAGTGTATGTAATGGATGTAACCTAACTTATTGATCAATGAAATGTGATTAACCAAAGTATTGCCTCATATGTGTTATGAATTCTAATTCTACATGACGAAGTGGGGAATAAGTGGTAATTGGTTCATCACAAATTGTTCCTAGTAGGTATATGATTTTGATACATGTGGCACAAATTGCGCGACATGCCAAAGGAATATGTGACGCTTTCAATCTCTTATCCTTAGCCATGGCATTCTAGGATCATATTGCACTACAACAGTTTGAGTTTTTTACAACTTGAGATATACGGCGTACAGTATTGGCATGCCTTTAATGATATTATTCACGACATTCGTAAAGTTCATGTCGTAATACTTGCACATAATCAAGCATTCACGGCATCATTTTTGTGCAAGTCATTAAATAAAATTATTTACGGCTTAAGCGTTGTGTGTCGTATTTGACAATTTACACGGCGAACTTTCCTTCTCTTTTAAGGCATCGTGTTATGTTGTAAAGTGAATTTTCTATATTTGGGTTACCTTTTATGGCACAAACGACATGTAAATAATGGCTTGTAGCTTAGCGCCTAAACTTTCCCACTCCACACCTAACATTTTTCTCAAACTTCTCCCTCTTCCATATATATATATATATATTTTTTTTTTTTTTTTTCTTTTTAAATCTTTCATATTTACAAAGAGATGTGTGCGGACATTAACAATTGCAACGTTCTTCTACAAGCCCCCCAAAAAGCTAAAAAAATCGGCGCTAAACAAAAATTCAAAAAAATTGATGTTTTTTGTAAAATTAAAAAAGAATAAAAAAAATGAATTGGCTACTAACCCAATCCCACTCTCTTCACTTTACTCTATTCTAAATAAAATCCCTAGAAATTCCCTCTCTTCTCTTCCCTTTGCGCCAGACTCACCATGTAAAAAATTTCAGGGATTTTACATTAAATCTAAGCGGGAAAAGATGGCGCTCGAGTGGACATTTCGCAATGACACAGTTTTCTTGTCAAAATCCAGACTCTTCTCAACTCTTTCATTCTACAAAACAAAGCAAAACCTCTTCCTCTCACCCCAAACCTACCAGCTCCAATCTCTTCTTTTTGGCACGCCAAGACTGAAACCCATATCTCTCTCTACTATTCTATATGTAGCGCCTCCCTTCCCTCTATTGCACCCCCAACAAGGCAACTCAAGGATAATGTGAGTTTGGTACAATGGCAGAGTTTTGTTAAGAAACGCTTTGGTTCAAAATATAAGGTAACAATAATTCTTTTCTTTTATTCAAATATATCCATTCTAGTTTCAGTACTTCAAATCCATAACAATTATATTGAATAAACTTTGGATATATAGGAGATAAGTGAGAGATTCAAGAAAATGAGGGCAAAGCAAACTATGCTACACACAATGAGTCGCAAAGGCTATGCTCGCCTTGAAGATGAGATGGTAAACTACAATTTTTATTTCTGTTAGTCATATTTTACTTTTGTAGATTTTCTGGTTTAAAGTTTCAATGTATATTTCATGTATGTTTGTACAAGAGTGAGTTCGGGTATATATGAGAAGAGAGAGGGAAAAGAGATGGGAATGATGGCTGCAACAAGCAGCCGACAAGAAAGAAGAAGGCATGTTGCCTACCTAATCTAAACCTTACACAAAGGCATTACCCCAATCAGTCTCCTCCCTTAAATCAAGGGAAAGGTGATTTACATACCCTTACCCTAAAGATTACAATGAGCCTTACCCTAGAGATTTACCTTGGGGGTCACCTTTGTAGTAGACTCCATATGCAGCATCAGTAGATGCAGCATCACAACAACTTTTTAACATAATTGTGAGTGGTGCTGCTATATGAAGACTATGATCTAATATTCTCTCTTAGTGCTTTTTTTTTTTTTAATTTCTAATGATTTAGATAAGAGAAAGTGAAACACCTGATGCAATAACAAGGGAAGATGTATGGATTCGTGGGCACACAAGGAAATCTGATGAATTTTTAAACGAAGAGGTTGCAACTGTAGCGATAATGGATGGAACAATTTATACTCATTTGTATTAGTATTATAGTCTTTATTTTAAAAGTTAACATTTTACTTTTTCATCGTAGAAAAAAAATACAAGAAGCAAATAAGAATGTAACAGATGTTGATAAGAACTCTATTAAGAATGATGCTCTTGCCAAAGCGCTTGGACCCGAACGTAGAGGTAGAGTAAGGGGACTTGGGTTTGGTGCAACATCTTAACAAGTGAGTGTTCAAACATATAATCATGAAAGAGTTATTATGTTGGAAAAAGAGTTGGAAGATTTGAAAAATATTGTCCATTCCCTACTAGTTGGACGGATGGGGAAAAATGCTAACTTAGTAAGTATATTTTTCGTACACTTGGTTTTTTTTCTCACTTACTAGCTATATATATTTTGGTCCTACAGATTTGAGAACTAGCTCAACGCTTCCTTCTTGGTATGTTGCTCTTTTGTGATGAAATTGGTTGCTCCATGAACATGGAGGGTGTGCTTGGGATATTGCTTTTTGGTATGATGTTGCCTTATATTTTGGTCCTACAAATTTGAGAATTAGCTCAAAGCTTCCTTCTTAGTATGGGGCTCTTTTGTGATGAGATTGGTTGCTACATGAACATGGAGGGTGTGCATGGGATATTGCTTTTTGGTATGATGCTGCCTTATATTTTGGTCTTACAGATTTGAGAATTAGCTCAACGCTTCCTTCTTGGTATGATGCTCTTTTGTGATGAAATTCGTTGCTCCATGAACATGGAGATGAAGGGTGTGCTTAGGATATTGCTTTGTGGTATGATGTTGCCTTATGGTTATCATTAGTTTCCTCTGTTAGCTTTAGGATGTGCATAAGTTGGAAGAGGAACAAAACAACTTAGGTTTTTTGTAAACTTCCGATTGTAATGTAATTGACAATTTTTACTAATTAATCTAAGTATTTAGAGTTTAATGCGTTTACGATGATTATTGTTATCTTTCTATTGTACTCCTTACAATATTAATTTAGATGTTATGAAGTAAGGTCCATCTAAAATGAATTGTTAAAAATAAAAAATAAAAATAAATGTAAACTACGGCATGCAAAATCAGCCGTAATTGTTGATGGTAGTCTTCTTTTATGATGTACGCCGTAGGCTGTAATTGCCTTTACAGTATTATGATACTCAATAAACATTGTATCAAATATAAATTACGACACACATATATGTCGTAATTGCTTTTGCAGTATTATAACACTCCATTAATGTCGTATTTAATACCAATTAAGGCGTGCAAGGGATGCCTTAAAGATCATTTACGACGTGTTTTGGTTAAATTATTCACGGCTACTAGGGAACGTCGTATTTGACAAAACATCTTTTACGACAGGGGCGTGTTTTGGTTAAATTATTAACGGCTACTAGGGAACGTCGTATTTGACAAAACATCTTTTACAACAGGGGCTTTTACTGCTTAGGGGCTCATGCCGTGAATAACCGTTTACGACGTCCTTTATGCGCCGTAAAAGGCCAATTCTGTTGTAGTGTTGGGTGATGATAAATTCCTCACTTATACATTTGTTATGTGATGAACTTAAAGGTCACTGACTTTTTTGTTTTGTGATGCTTATTTTGTCACAGTTAAAGTTATTAAGTGACGAAGTCGGCTTCACAAATACTAAAAATATGTGGTGAATGTAAAATTCGTCACAAAACTATAGGTGACACTGTATAGTGACGAATATAGTGACGCTGGATTTTTGTCACATATAATCAAATGTGACGAATTTTCATGTTTATGTGACGAATGTCTGTTGCCACCTAAGCCATGTTTTCTTGTAGTGTTATACCAATTGGTCTTAAATAGCAAATGCCAAATCACATAATCTTATGTTCATATTCTTACACTTACCTCACATGAACTACTAGAATTGCCTCAATGGGAGGGAAAATGTTGAGGTGACGCCATTCATAGCTCAAGGTCGAGGTCCTAAGCTCTTCACCGTCTATATGCATCCAAACGGAGAATAAGACATGGAACTATACTCTTCTCTACTCTATAACCATTCATTGGACAAGTAGTTTTGAATACCTTGACAACCATACCTGCTTAAATGATCGTTCTCACCAAGACATAATCTAGAGCCAAAACTAACACAAGAGGATGATCGATGTACTTTCAGACACTGATACAATCTGTTTAGACACCAATATATCACTAACAACAATATCAATAACTTTTAGTTTTCCACTTTGCTTGAAATCTAAAATCGATATAAGTGGTCTTTGTGATTGTTCACTATTAATCATTTTAGTTATTCCGTGAAAAATCTCTGTTAAATTGAGGGTGTATTGTTCAAACCAACCCCTCCTCTTGAACTGGTGGTTTCTTCAATTTAACAAAGATTTTTCATAGAATGACCAAAATGATTGACGGTGAACAATCTCAAGGACATTTCTATTGATTTTAAATCTCAGGGACATTGGTATTGGGCAAGCTCGATTTTTCTCGAAATTGGATCAACCTGGTGATGACCACAATTTCTACTATGACATACTCCTTTCTTGTCAATGGATCCGCCTACGGCTATCTACATCCTTCTAGGGGTATTTTCCAAGGTGATCTGTTATCCTCTTACATATTCCTCCTATGTGCCAAGGGATTCACAACCATCATTAATCGAAAGGAAAGACAGGGTCTCCTTCAAGGAATTTTGTTATGTCCGAGAGCCCCCCTGTGAGCCACCTTCTTTTCATCGATGATAGTTTCTTATTTACCAGAGCTACTACCGACAATTGCAACCAAGTGGCGGATATTCTTTCTAAGTATGAATTAGCTTCCGGACAAAAAGTCAATCTCTTGAAAAGCGAAATTTGTTTTAGTAGAAATATTCGTAACAGGGAGAAGTCTCATTTGGCTGCCTTATTGGGTGTCGATCTTGTTGCAAGACATGAGAAGTACCTTGGACTTCCTACGATTATGGGCATAAATCAACAGGCTTGTTTTGGATTTATCAAGGAGCGCTAATGGAAATGACTCCAAAGTTGGAAGGGGAAACTACTTAATGCAGTTGACAAGGAGTTACTAGTGAAGGTAATAGCGCAAGCCATACCTTCCTACCTTATGAGTTGTTTTCTCTTGCCTAAATATCTATACGACGAGCTTAACCAAATGATTGCCTCTTTCTGGTGGAACAATAGTGACGGGGATCGCAGAATTCATTGGCTCTCTTGGGATAAACTGTGCTTGCCCAAAAACGCGGGTGGTTTAGGTCTTCGTTACTTATATGCTTTTAATTTAGCATTGTTGGCCAAGCAAGCATGAAGAATTATGAACAACCCTTAATCACTCTCCGCACGAGTCCTAAAGGCCGAGTAGTTCCCCTCTTTTTCATTCTTGGAGGCACCAGTCAATGCCAATTATTTATATTGTTGGAGAAACCTATGTGCTTCCAGGGATGTTATAAAACGTGGTGCTTGTTGGCAAATCGGCAATGGCTTAAATGTTAAAATCTAGGGGGATCCATGGATCGGTCTCCCATCATCCTTTCGTATCTTCACCCCTAAGCCAACTGACTACTCTTTGGATTTAGTTTGTTAATTTATCGACTAAGATAGAAGAGTTTGGAATAAGGACATTCTTGAATCGTTGTTCTACGAGGAAGAGATAAACCTCACTAAGTCCATTCCCATCAAAATTCGTGATCTCCGGACCGGCTGATTTGGCATTACGAACCTAAGGGGCGCTTCTCAGTTAAATCTGCATACCATGTTGCCCGTGAATGGTTAACTCCTGTCAATAGAAGTACCTCATCATCATCATCAGGGAATTCAAGTTTAACCTATGGGGTAAGGTTTGGAAGGCTAATGTTCCACCTAAAGTTCGAGTTACATTTTGGCGTCTCTATAACAACATTGTTCCCACCAAATGCAACCTGGCAAAGAAGCATATAACGATGGATCTATCGTGCATTTTATGTAACTTCCATGGGGAATCCACATATCATATCCTCAGGGAGTATCATTTTGCTAGATGTGTTTGGCTCTGTGCACCAATTGGTTATCTCTCTAGAGGTTATGGATCCTCATCTGTTATTGATTAGGTTTCGGAGGTGGCATACCCACTCCTTCCCAATTTATTTGATATATTCAGGATCATTTGTTAGGCTATTTGGGGTGCTCAGAACTCAAATATTTGGGAGGGTAAACGTGATACTCCTCATGTCGTTGTCTCTAAAGCAATAACCTAGTGGCATGAGTTCATTCGTATTCACTCTTTTGCAATTACGGCCAACAATATCTCAGTGAGCCCTATCAAATGGATGATGCCTCCCTCTGGTTGCCTGAAAATCAACTTCGATGGGGCTTGGTGCAAGGATTCTCAGGTGAGAGGTTTAGGCGATGTTGTTAAGGACGACATGGGGAATTTTGTTACGGCATCCTACATGAATTTCCAAGATATATTTTCTCCCTTATAAGCAGAAGCTATGGCTGCTAGGGCCTGTTCATTTTGGGCGAACTGGAAGGGTTTCAGAAATTTCTTTTTGGAAGGAAACTCTCTTCAAATTGTGACGACTCTTTGTGATACCTTCACTAATATGTCAACATCAATTGGGCAGTTAGTAGAAGACACAAAAAGCATTCTGACACGCCCCCGATCCCGATGTTCGAGGGACATCGGGATGGTCACATGTCGACGGACACCAGAGGGTGACGCAAGCCATTTAATGAATGCATATGCTAAGAACATGTAAATCATGAGTATACATTGTGTTCAAACTACATAAAATAATATACTAATATTTAACTACCAACAATGATAAAGATAATGATAGTGCATGACATGTTCAGAGCATACATCTAATTCAGAATACAATAGAAGGTGTTATTACAATGATGTCAAAGCAAAGATGAAGGCACGATATCACTGGTAGGGGAATGCCTAGTAACTCGGATTGTAAGCCTCGTTCCTATGTCATGAGGGGGCACAAAACAAACATGAGTGAACCAAGTTGATATATATATATATATATATATATATAATACTGAAACAGTTATCAACATACTAACCCCCAAAGTTTATGAAAACTCAATAGTATAGCATGCCATCAAAACTTTCATAAAACATATATTGTATATAGTGTGCTAACTAGTGGTATCAGTATCACCTAAAGGCATATAGAACTTTTCCTTCATAACACTTCATTCACAAGCATCAATCGCCCGTAGGCTCTTACAGCACCTAACCCATAGGTCAATATAAGTATCATCGCCCATAGGCAGAACAATGACCACTAGATATGCACAAAACATTGAATATACTCTTTCCAAACATAAATACATATATCTCAAAATCATCTTCATAGCATATAGTCATCCAACATATATACTATAAAGAAGTGTAAAGAAAACATGTTCATAAATAGTATATAATCATCCATCATATATACTACGAAGAACATAAGTTTAATAAAATATGGTATTCCAAAATATTCGCAGTAAAGCATGATATATCATAAGTGTAAATCTAATTTACTCATAAAACGTAACCATTAAATCATGATTTTCATGTATGCATTTCTATTATTAAAACATGCATTTTAGAAGGGGCACACTCATTGATACTTCACCGTTGAAGAGCCACGCGAAATAGGAAGAACGGAATCGTCGTTAATAATTGCACCTAAGCACATAAAGCGTCCAATTAACAAAACTATACTCAAACGATTGAATTTCAGAAAACAGACATCAAAAACGGATCCAAGACATTGAAATTAGCCTAGGAGGGGTCCTGATCGAAACCCAAGTCAATGATCAAAGTCAAAGTCAACGGGTCAAACCTAATAACTAAAGTACAGGTGTTGAATATTGATTGGTTAGAATGTAATAAGGAGAGGTGTAGAGGATTGCCACATAGGCAAATTAGTTAGGAATGTAGTGTTATAAAAGCTACTGTACAAACGTTTGATATTCATTCAATTCAGT